TAATTGTACACTTTTCACACAAGGAAGATGCACTCTGACCCTACACCCCCCCCCCTCCTCCTCCTAAACTAATTGAATATAACTTATAATTTTAAGTCACTGAAGATCAGGCCTTCTATCATTAGTATTTAGTTTACAGTTTACCTGCGATTTCGTATTCCCACCTCAAAGCTAAGGTATGAGATACAACATGAGAGAGTGAGAAACCATAAATGATATCAAATCCAAATGTGTGGAAAAACATTGCTGATTTGGTGTGTTATGTGACATCACTGTCTGAAATCAAATCACTTGAGCCAAGGTCAGGTCAGTCACATCAGCACCAGGCAGAGGTCTACGATAGATCTAGTATATGACCCTCCAGGCAGCTTTGATTTCAAGAGACATTTAAATCAAACCCTCAGTCGCTTGTACCCCTCAGTCCCGAACCAACTGGGAAACAGAAATAACCCATTATAACCCAGTGAGTGACCTGGCAGACCTATATTATGTAGATCTAACGACAAAACGGGATGCAAACCAAATTGAAAAAAAAGAAGAGCGATAGAAAAGTAGCCCAGCCTCAACCGGAAGTTCAAATTCAGGCATGTTACTATTAATTTTGATTCTTTAAAAAACGTAGACAGGTTTGTATACATTCTCTAACGTTAGAGAGCGTAGAGACTTCCCCGGCACACAGAGTAGCGCTAGATTTAGTGTGTCAGTTTCCTATACGTAGACGCCGTTTGCAAATACTACTAGATGTCTATGTCTAAAAGGAAAAGATTTTTTAGTACAGAAAAAAATATTCCTGAATGTGAATCTGTGATTAGTTTTACAAATTGCGTCTTATAATAGAAACAGTATGCAGAATACAACTTAAGACGTCATCACGGTCCTCGCGCTTCGCAAGACATGACGAACACCGTATGTCACAGCAGCATCTTAACTCGCTCGCTGTGTAAGAAAATATGACGAAATACAGGCCACAAAGGGGTTATATGACCACATTTTGGAGTTAAAAAAAAAAGACACATACGTTTGCCACACACACAAAAAAAGACTAGCAAAGACAGAGTATATAGGGAGTAGGGCTGCATGTAGGCATCCAGACACAGAAACGAACATGACACTCACAATAAGACAGTGTGTTGTCAATGTCATGTTTTTTATCATAGCCTACGTTCAATTCCTTCACAGCGTAATAATGCATTGCGTAATTTGAGAGCGCATTCCTTTTGGCACAACAGTGTTTATCATGCCACTTCCGGCAAGATTTAAGACACAAACTTTTGAGAAAAAGAAGTTCTCCTTCAATTTCCACTGTTTCACCGCTGCCGCGTCTGGATCTTTCAGCTTGCCGAGCACGATGAGCTCCCCTTTGCAGACAATGGCACCACGCAGCACTATGTTGTCCTCCCAGAGCGAGCCTTCAGACACCATCTAAAAGTGAGGGGACCATGAAGGGTTTACGTCAACCAAAAGCTGAATTTAAAAGTAATCATACTGCTGCTGCTACCACCACCACCACCACCACTACTACTACTACTACTACTACTACTACTACTACTACTACTACTACTACTACTACTACTACTACTACTACTACTACTACTACTACTACTACTACCACTACTACTAGCAAAGAATCTTTGTCAATAATAATATTAATAATAATAATAATAATAATAATAATATTAATAATAATAATAATAATAATAATAATATTAATAATAATAATAATAATAATAATAATAATAATAATAATAATAATAATAATAATATAATAGAAATAATAATAATATTGGGTTGGAAGGCCGGGGGCCGGGGGGCGGGGGGGTGGCCTCTCGTGTTCTACAGGTACCGTACCTTGACAGTGGCGAAAAAATGTTCTTCTCCTCCAAAATTCTTCCCTTTCACCCCTCTTCAGTTCTGTCTCTAGTCCTGTTCTTTATGTGCTTTCATCTCCACTTTCTCCCCCTGTCCCTGGTCTCCTCTCTACCTTTCTCTTTCTTGACTGTTCTTGTTCGTTAGTTTTAGCAACGTTTTACGGCACTCGCAAATGCATGATGTCAGATGAGCGTCGGGGGGGGGGGGGGGAGTGTCAACAGAGAGATCCAAACAGGGAATGAGGGTTATTCTGCTCACCTCTCTAGCCTCAACAGCACAAAGTCTGCTTCGACTATCAAGGCACCCTGGAAATAGCAGTTCACAGGAAAGTGACAAAACATACTAAAGAGGTAGAGGAAAATGACTATAGTAAGGATGAGGAAAGAAAAAGCAGCAGTTCCCACTATGTTGTTCCGACACAGTAAGAGCATGACATTGATAAATCAGCCCATTTACAATTCTACTGTGCATAAGAACAAGATAGATCTAATATCCCCCCCTTTGGGAATGGCGTAAAGACACTTCAGGCAGTAGCACTGCCCTGGTTGGCGGGGGGTGGGGGGGGGGGGGTGACTGTTTCTACTGCTTCTCTCGGCTCCTTCTTACAACTGTCTTTCAGCCACACCCCTATCTTATAGTAGGTAAGATCGAACTCCTAGCTTTTTCAGATAAGGGAAAACAATCTTTGAGATTCCATGTGTAAGCAGCGAACGTGAAAGTTCCTCTGGTGGTCCTAAAATTGATAAGAGTATGCTTGGGCCATCACCCGGGCAAAATTAGAAATCATTTCCAACTAAAACTGAAAATAAGTGTCATGACGTGGTGGAATCAGGCGTTTGTCAATTTTGGGCATATGGAGTTATTGGTATCATCTGACTGCTTGTTCATTATTTGTCTTGCTTTTGACAGAAAAAGAAAAAGAAAACAACCCCCCCCCAAAAAAAGAGAAAAATTTGCAGTTTCGAAGTACACTCAAGTTTTGGAAGTCGTCAAATTTTGGCAGTCATTTTTTCGTTAAAAAAAGGGTGCCTTGATAGTCGAAGCAGACTTTGTGCTGTTGAGGCTAGAGAGGTGAGCAGAATAACCCTCATTCCCTGTTTGGATCTCTCTGTTGACACTCCCCCCCCCCCCCGACGCTCATCTGACATCATGCATTTGCGAGTGCCGTAAAACGTTGCTAAAACTAACGAACAAGAACAGTCAAGAAAGAGAAAGGTAGAGAGGAGACCAGGGACAGGGGGAGAAAGTGGAGATGAAAGCACATAAAGAACAGGACTAGAGACAGAACTGAAACCTCTGAAACTTGGTTACCCCAACATCCTTGTCAGATTGGTATATAAAAAAAGCAACAACAACAACCGAAAACAAAATTAACGAACAAGCCTAGTGGTTAGGCTCTCGGACTCGCAACCGTAAGGTCGTGGGTTCGAATCCCGTCAAGGGCCCGACGTTGTGTCCTTGGGAAAGGCACTTTACACGAATTTTCCTCACTTCACCCAGGTGGGAATGGGTACCCGGCTATAGACAGCGAAAGATCTTGTCAGTTTGTTAGTGTTTGAGCGCTTAATCGGCTGCTCGCACTGTATGCTTCCCGGGAAGCTGAGAATGTTTCGGAGTGTTCTATGGTCTGCTGGGGTAATAATATAGTGTAAAGCGCATAGAGCCTGCTGTTGAGCGGGGATATGCGCTATACAAATGCTATCTATTATTATTATTATTATTATACCAATAATTCTGTATGCCCAGAAATTGATGAGCACCCGATTCCACCGCGACACAAAAATAACAATACCTGCAGATTCGAGTCACTGCATGCCACAAGACGCCATAGAGAGCCATCCTGTTGTAACAGGAAGTGGTTGTCTCTATCTCTCAGACATACAGCCGACTCGGCGAGGCCAGGCATCTCGTCCCGAAACTGATTACAGCGCCTGGTCAAAAGATTGAAGCGCTGCACCACAATGCGCTGCTCTGGAGTCAGGTCATTACCAAAAACGACGATGCTGTTGTTGACCACCATCACCGCTGTGTTCTTCACTGGTTGCACCAAGTTGCCGATTTGCTCCCACTTTGCCGATCCGGGACTGACAATGTCCTCTTGAGCAGGGAATCGTTCGATATTGTCGTACCCATTGCCCCCAATGGCGTAGATATACAAACCATGCGAGACCAATTTGTAATTAGCCCCTGGTTTGACAAGTGATGGTACTGAGCAAAACGAGCCCGTTCTCAAGTCATACTTAAAGGTTGTGAGGTTTGTGTACAGGCCAAACAGAAAATCCCCAAAAGCAACTGTGCTGCTTACTGTGTTAAACTCTGCATTAGTCATCCTGACTATCTCCATTCCATTCCCAGCTTGAGTTGGAAGGTTTCCTTTTACTTCTCCAATTTGTTCATTAGAGCCAAGGTTGAAGACGACCAGTACATTCTGATGTTTGCTTTTCTCTCTGTGCACGGCTTGTGGCGGAAGGTAATCATGGCGGCTACCTGGAAGTGTGTGATAGTTTAAAGCCTCCTGGAAAGTTCTGGTTACTTCCTTGTTACCCCGAATCACATCAAAGTCCAGTAGATTTTGAAGGCATGAACTTCTGGCCAGACATGTTCTTGCGGAGAGCAACAAGTTGCTGAGTGCTTGCAGTCGACAGTCTTTCTCAGAGTCCACCAAGCACCAACTCTGAAAATTGAAATTAGAATCGTGTGGCTATTCTTAAAACAGCTTTCTCGGAAAGTTTACTAATTTTAGGTGGCTCACTCAAGCTTCAAGATTATTTGTCTTTTAAAGAAAACGGCTGAATTTACGGTGTCTACACATCTAGTGAAACAGTTCTGAGGTTGTTTCTACTGTGATGAGTTCTACTTTGATTTTCAGTCTAGGGTACCAGTCAATGGTCACATAGTCTTTATCCAACTTATAAAGCCATGCTCATGGAATGTGTTGTTAGATAAGAATACTCGTATTTATATAACGCGTTTGCACACCACCTTCAAAACATGTTTGTTTTTAAAAGTTGTTGATATGTTTAAACTTTACGGCACTATTTGCTACTGTTAGTATTAGACCATTGTGAGTCCAAAAAAAAAAGAACTCAAATCAAACATGGCTGAAAAAAAAGTCAGTTTATTTTATAATTACGAATGATTTTCCTACTTATATCTTTCTATACACATTATGTAGGATATGTAATTGGCACCAGAAAGACCAATGCAAATAGATTTTATGTCGATATAAAAGAATCACGGTATACCAGAGCAGTACAAATGTATCAAACTGAGACAGGGAAGAAAACATAAATAGTATCCGGTACTACTTGTAGTACCACGAAAACTGCAAGCTTGAAGAATATATATCTGAAGTCAAGTGTACTGGTTAATGAATACACAGCAAATTTGTAGTGTCCACTGTTCATTAAAGCGCATAGCATGAACATGCCAAAAGAATCCATCACACATACACGCACAAATACGTCCATGCATGGTAAACTATTTTTGTAATCCCTTTCGATTTGGCGAGCCTCCCTTTTGTCTGTATAGAGAATGGAAGAGGGCAGGGGCCAAAACTCTTTTCTTTGCTGATCAACCGCATGCAGCGGGCAATGTGTGTCTATAGAAGAGACTGAAAAACTAAAGACCCGTTAACGCCATTAGACAGCAAACGGTACACTTTGAGATTATTGATATACACTAAGTTGGTACATAATATTGAGCTTTGACTAGAAACTCTCAACTGATTGTGTATATTCAAAGCAAACCACCAGACAGACATAAATGACAAATATTGGCGTCGGTGGCCTAGTGGTTAGGCTCTCGGACTCGCAACCGTAAGGTCGTGGGTTCGAATCCCGTCAGGGGCCCGACGTTGTGTCCTTGAGAAACGCACTTTACACGAATTTTCCTCACTTCACCCAGGTGGGAATGGGTACCCGGCTATAGACAGCGAAAGATCTTGTCAGTTTGTCAGTGTCTGAGCGCTTAATCAGCTGCTCGCACTGTATGCTTCCCGGGAAGTTGAGAATGTTTCGGAGTGTTCTATGGTCTGCTGGGGTAATAATAATATAGTGTAAAGCGCATAGAGCCTGCTGTTGAGCGGGGATATGCGATATGCAAATGCTATTTATTATTATTGTTATTATTATTATTATTATTATTATTATTATTATTATTAGTTCTATATTATTATTATCTGCCCATCAGTGTACAAGATAAGAAGGCCTAGATCTACCTGGTAAGTTCAGTTTGTATTCGTACAGTACAACTCTTGACCGCTGAGTGGACCTCTCTAGGTTCAATCTCTATTGAAAAGGCGGTTCTGTTCCTAATATGTGATCTACTCAAGTAGTTGTTTTGGCCTTTTCTCATATTGCCTTTTTATTGAAATACTTTGACTTCTGAATTCTCTTCATCTAGCTGCAGAATGCAAGATCCAGTACCCCAGTTGCAAAATCCTGACACCTAGTTAGAAAAGACAAACAAAGAGTAATGTAACAACTTCAAACGAAAACCAACGAAGATACCTAAAAAGCCATATCTGGGTGAGTGTTTACTAGTGCTGGGCGGCTAGGTTCCTGATTATTGAAAGCTAGGAATCGTAGGAATCGACTCCAAGCCCAATTACTTACTTTCTAATGATGTGATTGTTCCCGAGGGTCACCTGGTTGGCTCCGAACATCATTCTTTGCGATTTAGGATAACGTTGATTTCGGAACACTACGAAGCATTAACTTCTATTTATCAACAACAAATTCTTTTAAAAAAAAGAAAAACATTTTAATAATAAAAGTGACTGACAACTTTCAGATAAAAGGGAGACGGAACTTTACTTCCTTAGTGTTAACCGTGGGAATCGGTTCCGGAATCGACTCTTCGCCCAGCTCTAGTGTTTACCTGCAGTGCTTCAAGAACCTCGTCTTCCGAGTCGATGGACAAATCCTCACATGCCACCAGTTGTTTCACATCACATTCATCCAGAGACAGAAAATCTTCTGTGCGCCTAATGAAATTAAACTCCTTTCGCATCATCTCAAACGATAAACTAGACAATTTTTGTGAGTTGAGGACTTTAGCATGGTTAAATATTTCCACACATCTATCTTTGGTGATATTTTTTTCCAGATACAACTCACATTCTTGTATGAGCACATCTATCAGGAGATGACTGGCGGCGAAACACAAACTGCTCACATTCTCACTGTTCACCACATTCCGACCAGAGTATATGAACTCGTACACATCTCTGAAGGTCTCACTTGATATTTCTTCAATAACCACGCTGTCAGTTTCGCTTTCTTTCATTCCTGAGTTGAAGAGGCCACGAAAAAAATGAGAGCAAGAGCTCAGAATAAAGCGATGACATCTAAATGTTTCTTCCTCAACATGCACCTCAAAGTCATGAAAGCTGTCTCGATCTAACTGCAACTGGAATTTTTAAAGACAAAAAAAATACAGGTTAGGCAAAAGTCAACGTTAATAGTGTATTTATACCTCATCTCACAGAAAATTTTTTTGACCAAGAACCATCGTGTAATTCATGTGTGTGTGTGTCTCGTAGAGCGTAAAACTTGTGATTAAAAAAAATATCTGATCACGAACTCCACTTTTCCAACAGATGCTACCATAGTTAAGGTACCATACATAGAAAGCCAATGGGACATTCAAGCTTTGCCACTAGAGCAATAATCGCTTTTAGTTCTAGCAGGGGACAATCAAAGCCAACTTTTTCGACCAGCAGTTTTTCCCCCATTATCTAATTGTTGTTTTATTCGACTTATTACAAGTACTGGTACTGGCATAAACAACATTAAAATTTGTTTTGAACTTTTGAGAGCTCCTTTAGCGGCTGGAACGGGAGATGGGGCAACCAACCACAGATGAGCACACATACGTTAAATGAAAAAGAGATGGAAGCGAAAGATTGAGACGATGTAGTGAGATAGAAGGGAGAGATTGAGATGGTGAGGCAGGGTGTGTATCACTCCATAATGTGAGGACGACTTACAAAATGAGTTACTTCTCGCATCCCTCAAACAGAGCTACTGGTCGAAAATCGAAACGGGTGCCAAATAAGTCGATTTTCAACAGATGCCTTTTTCTTCCAGTTTACCATGTCTTTTACCGTTTCCTACAAATAAATTGGGTATTTTTTTACTTTCCCTCCCGTCTCACACTCAGCTACCAGTTGTCTATTTTCTACTAAATATTGATGCGCTGAACACGAATATCAACTTCATTTCCGTCGCAAATTAATAGTTTTTGAAATATTTGATTGTTTTTAACCGAGATAGACATGCTTTGGACCAATCGGGGGCCATTTTCTCACTAATTTTACCTCTGAAAACAGGTGACCCCCACCTCCTTCTTTCGCAAATATCTCGGCTTGTGTTCAAGGTAAATGTATATTTTTTTAAACCAAATAAAGACAAGTGAATGAGCTTAAGATGATGACAATAACTCTACATGCCCCAAAATTGACGAGAGCCTGATTGCACCACGATGCCTCACAATTGTCTTAGCGCCACTCTCTTGAGAGGGAGGGAGAGATGAAGAGGACGAGAGAGAGAGAGAGAGAGAGAGAGAGAGAGAGAGAGAGAGAGAGAGAGAGAGAGAGAGAGAGAGAGAGAGAGAGAGAAAGAAAATTATGACAAGGGAGACAGACAGACAGAGAGACAGACAGACATACAGACAGACAGACAGACAGACAGACAGACAGACAGACAGACAGACAGACAGATGAAGAGGGAGAGTGAGAGAAAGAGAGAGAGAGAGAGATTATAGTTGGGTTTTTAAAAATTATCATTTGTTCCCATTATGAGGCGAATAGATCTCCAACTATTCAAAATATATACCTTCATTCCTTGAAGGAGTCCTCGAGCAATTTTGTCCACAGTAGCCATAATTGTTTGCTGTAAATAAAAATAAAAAATATCCTGCTTTGTGCTTTTAATTTGTGACTATATACACTGTCCATGATTTAAGAAAAAATTATTGTCTTTCAGCTGTTCAAATTATGTATTAAGCCCAAAATCTTTGACTTTTTCTGTTATCGCAGTTTCTTGAATTGTAGTATCGATCGCCTGTGCTCCAAAGAAATTATATTGAAATTCAAATTCTAAACTTTGAGAAAAGCCAGAATAATATATGCATAGTTCAGAAACAATTTATAAAAGAATGAAACATTTTTTAAAAATCTTCTGAAACAATTTTGCTTTCTGGGTTTAGGGCATTTGGACAGCTTGCCACCAAGATGTCCATTCGCGTGGATTGATAGGCTCGTAACAGGATTGTGAAATAATCTTTTTAAAAGTAAAGGGCTTTGAAACTAAATGTACTTGAAGGCGACGCATAATAATACATGTTCATGAGTTCTTCTTTCGTTTGGGGGGAGGGGGGTGGTAATAAGTTTTTTACGGCACTCGCAACTGCATAAGGTCATATGAACTCGCGGGACACACCAAATATTTTCAGTTGGTAGCCTACTCTTATTAATTTCAAACCACCACGGGATCCTTAACCGTACTTAACGTGCGCAACTTGCACACGGGACCTCCGAGATTTTCCGCCCGTGTCCGAGAAGGCTAGGTGTAGATCTTTCCCATCAGAAGATCAGGGACGTGGCTGAAAGACAGCAGTAAGAAGGAGCCAAGGAGCAGCAGTAGAAAGGCTGCAGAAAGAGTCAGGAGCCCAGAGGAGGGGGGCAAATGAGGTGAGGGGGTGGGGGCAGAAAGAGGAGACGAAAGCAGATAACAGAACATTGCTGGAGAGCAGGAAAGGAGGTGAAAGGAGACGGTTTTAGAGAAAGAAAATTTTTCGGTCGCTCCCCTGATTCAAACCTGGGGCCTTTGAATGAGAGGCGAACACCTTAACTTCTTGGCCACGAGAGCCCCCGCATGAGGTCTTTTTGTCAAACTATTCCTATATGCAGTACTACTGAACACAATCGACCCGACTTATGACCATAAATGTTATAACAACTTTCCAAAAACGAAACATAAAATTATCTTATTCCATCTTGCATACTTTGCTATGAACTCTGGCGATCAAATGAATTATCCACTTACGTCCAAAAATGAGTTTCTTCTCGGATTCAATTCTTAAGGAAATAGATACATTACGCTTATAGGTGAGGTTTTCACTATTTATAAGTATGAAATAATAAAAGACAGGTTGTTGTTAAAGAATATGGCATCAGTAGAAAATCTACAAATTTGCCCCTAAAGTTGATTTTTGACCAATATCTCCATTTGTGAATTGCGAGAAGTAACTCATTTTGTCAGCACGAGGTTGTAGCTATTTACGTGATGGTTTTCCATGCTTCTACTCAGTTTTAAAATTTAAAAAAAAACTATGAAAAGATGGAATTATCAATTCACATTATAAAGGTAATCTGAATATTTTTATAAAACGGGACCTTCCGATAAAGAAAGGGACAGTTGGCGGCTTCAAAGTGTCTCATCTCGATTATTTCCCCATTCACTTCCCACGTGCAGCAGATGGTGACAGAGGTTCTGTAAATATTGTAGGGCTGGATCCTGCTCGCCAAATCTGAGAGTGGCGATTCACGATTCAGTCGGCTTCAATGAATCGCGAGTAAGCGAGCGCTCGTGGAACACTATGTCTCGGACTCGTTGTATGGGTGAAACGGAACAGTCTCATATCAACACCACTTGGCGAGTCCCACTCTTGTTGTCCCGCCATCCTATCCGCCCCCCGCCCTTCGTTGTGCTGCTCTACTGACCCCAATTAGTGACCCCCATAAATTCCCCCCCCCCCCCCCCGCCATGATTCGCTAAAACAATTGCTCTATAAAATTCCTTCTGTCTATAGGTTGGAACCCGTTCATTTTGTTTTAATAGGGCTATACCATATTTTGTAAAATAAGAGGAGCCATACTAAATGACCAGCGGATAACTTTTTAACGACCGATGTACGCCATTGGCCGATATTTATAGTAACAACCATCTTGTTTGACGTCATTGGGGGATTCCCACTTTGTTGTCGTACACCGTGGCAACACGACCGCAAAACACTATTTGCACTATTTTTAAAGCCTGTAGCTTACAGTGGCGAGGTGGCGGAGTGGTTAGTGCGCTTGTCTCCGAAGCAGAAAGTCCAGGTTCGAGCCTCTGTTCGGCCACGGATTCTTTTTTTCGCCCCCCTCCTGCCCACCCACCTGTAATGGGTACCGGACTTCGAGTTGGGGAAGTAAAGGACCAATTAACCAACCAAAAAAAAATTCTTTAAAAAATTTAGATCTAGATCTAGATCTAGATTCTATAAGTTAACAGGAAAAAAAAAACATACAAAAATGTTATATTTTTTAAAAATTAGTCCTTTACTTCCCAACTCGAAGTCAGGTAACCATTAGAGGTGGGTGGGGAAAAAAAATCCGTGGCCGAACCGATGCTCGCACAAGGACTTTCTGCTTTGGAGACAAGCGCACTTACCACCACGCCACTGCAGGCTACAGGATTTAAAAATGCTACAATAGTGCTTTGTGGTAGTGTTGCCACCGAGAACGACAACAAAGTGGGAATCCCTCTGTGACGTCAAACAAGATGGTTGTTACTATAAATATCGGCAAATTGGCGTACATCTGTCGTTCTAGAGTTATCTTCATGTTACCCAAGTCTTGGATGTTACTAAATGTTCCTTTCCGTTCTTGCGCTCGTGACTCGACTCGCAACTCAGCAGTAGATTACAAAAAATGCCACAAGGTGGTTGCAGCGACAGGGGAGTGAATCGGGAATCGGAAGGCGATACTGTTCCGCGTCAAAGATAGTACATAACATAATGTCTTTTGTTTGCCATTTTCGTCGATTGTTTGTACCAAAGAAGAGGGGGTTCTCGTGGCCTAGAGGTTAAGGTGTTGGCCTCTCATTCAAAGGTCCCGGTTCGAATCCGGGTAGCGACCGAAAAATTTTCTTCTCTAAAATTGTCTCCTTTCACCTCCTTTCCTGCTCTCTAGCAATGTTCTGTCGTCTGCTTTCATTTCCACTTTCTGCCCCCACCCCCTCACCTCCTTTGCCCCCTCCTCTGGGCTCCTGACTCTTTCTGCAGCCTTTCTAATGCTACTCCTTGGCTCCTCCTTACTGCTGTCTTTCTGTCACACCCCTGATCTTCT